ATATAGTGGCGGCCAAAAATGGATGCAGTATTCCAATTGGGGTCTTCCCATGGCATTATATGAGCCACGGTGGCGCAGTGGTTAGAGTGCAGCGTGGCAGGCTACTTCTGCTGCCTGCCGGCTGCCTGCAATTTGGCAGTTCGAATCTCACCAGACTCAAGGTTGACTCAGCCTCCCATCCTTCCAAGGTGGGTAAAATGAGGACTCAGATTGTTGGGGGCAAGAGGCTGATTCTGTAAATTGCTTGGAGAGGTCTCTAAAACACTATAAAGCAGTATATAAGACTAAGTGCTATTGCTATAGGAAAATGAACAAACAAAACCAAAGAAATGGTAGGCAAATTCAGCCAAATATTCAAATTGGCCTCTGATTTATTCATTGGGTCTTAATTTTGAATCAGAATGAATTAAAACAATTACTGTTTTCTACAGAATAGAAGGAGTATGGTGGCTCACGAGGTTAGAACCCAGGGCTGATGAACATCAGCCTGGCATTCGAGACCCGTTCTGCTGTGGGTTGGGGTGAGCTCCTGTCGCACGCTCCAGCTTCCGCCAACCCAGCAGTTCAAAAGCGGGCCACAGAGGGTAAATAAATGTGTACCACTTCGGTGTGCAACTTCACAGGGAGCCCCCAGCTGGGCATCCCCCGGAGCAACGATGATGTCACCGACAGATTTTTTCACCACGGAAGCCCTTCAGTGCTCCTGGCAGGGAAGTAGAAGTACAGAGAAGTAGAGAAATTGAAAACGTTTTATTTCTATATGCATTAGATTTCACATATGGAGAGGTGCAGTGGCTGTGAGTTCGATCCTAGGTAGAGACAGGTATTTCTCTCTCTGGGCAGACTGAGAATATATCTGCTGAACAAAACTCTGCCTTAGCGACAGGAAAGGCATCCGGCCAGTAATCACTCAGCTCCACCCCCCCGCAAGGGATTATGGGTCATTAAATGATGCTTAGAGTTCATATATATTTTAGGTTTTTTTTCTTATGTACATAACCTTTGAATGACACGGAAAATTGCTTCCTCTAGGTCTCATATGCAGATATCCAGAAAAAGACTACGATTCATTTCCTCTGCCAGAGTCGGTCCCTCTTTTTTGTCTGCCAATGGGGGCAACCATTGAATGCTGGCCTTCCAACAGCAAATATCCTCTCCCAGTGTTTTCTACGTTTGTGCTCACTGGAGCCTCAGCTGAAAAGGTATGATCAATTGATCCTCAAATGTCATTTTGGTATCCATGGAGATTCTCGGTCATCCAGGTTCTGGTTGTCCCCAAAGTGCTTTTTTCCAGAGGCAGCTGGGCTTCCTTTGTTTTTCTTTGAAGATGTTTCGCTTCTCGTCCAAGAAGCTTCTTCTCCAGGCATTTGCATCCTTTTAGAGCAGTGGGTCTCAACTTTCCTAATGCCGTGACCCTTTAATACAGTTCCTCATGTTGTGGTGACCCCCAACCATCAAATTATTTTACGTTTTCCATATTTTTTTGAAAATATGTGTTTTCCGATGGTTTTAGGCGGCCCCTGTGAAAGGGTTGTTCGACCTCCAAAGGGGTCCCGAGCCACAGGTTGAGAACCACTGTTTTAGAGGGTCGCTGAGGCCACTTGGAGGTTTATCTGTAGTCCTCGGGGTCACCTGAGTTGGTGCTCCTGGTTCCTGTAGTCTGCAATTTTTTTTCTGGAAATCCATTCCTACTCCCACACTATTCCAAGTGTCTTCTTCCCAAATTGCGTAGCTAAAGGTCTGTAGAGATTCTCAGTCACGCAGGTCCTGGTTGTCCCAAAGGTGCTTTTTCAGGAGGCAACTGGACTTTTGTGGGTTTTTTCTTTGAAGGCGTTTCGCTTCTCATCCAAGAAGCTTCTTCAGCTCTGAGTGGTTGGTGGAGAAATGGAAGGATTTATACTCCTTGCAGACAGCTGGTCATTTGCATCCTTTTTATAGAGACATTGAGGCCACTTGGAGGTTTATCTCTGTCCTCAAGGTCACCTGATTGGTGCAAATGGGTGTGAAGCAGTGGTGAAATTCAATTTTTTTTACTACAGGTTCTGTGGGCGTGGCAGGGGAAGGATACTGCAAAATCCCCATTGCCACCCCACTCTGGGGCCAACCAGAGGTGGCATTTGCTGATTCTTTGAACTACTCAAAATTTCTGCTGGATTTCACTCGTATTTATGATGGGATCATGTCATCCCCTTTTGCCACCTTCTTGACGAGCAAAGTTAAGGGGAAAGCCAGATTCACTTAACGACCATGTTATTATGTTTACAACTGCAGCAATTTACAGAACAACTGTGGTAAAAAGGTCATAAAATGGGGCAAAATTCACTTAATAGCTTTCTTGCTTAACAACAGAAAGTTTGGACTCGGTCATAAGTCAGAGGACTACCTGAATACCGAAACATCCTTACACATTTTGAGTTTGTCAGTCTGTCCAAATCGTTGCCAAAACAATTTGCTTCTTCAGTTTGGGTGACAAGAGGATTGCTCTCTGCTGTCTGTTTGAGCAGGAGCAATTTTACAAAATGTAGAAGGAAATGTGATTATAGCATTTTGTTGCTAGAATTGCTTTTCAGCCTGGAAATTCAGCCTGGAAATAAGAAGACATTTTCTGACAATGAGAACAATCAACCGATGGAACGGAAGTTGCCTTCAGAAGTTGTGGGAGCTCCATCACTGGAAGCTTTCAAGAAGAGACTGGACTGCCATCTGTCAGAAATGATATAGGGTCTCCTGCTTGGGTGGGGGGGTTGGACTAAGTGACCTACAAGATCCCTTTCAACTCGGTTAATCTGTACCTAACTTTTCTTCCTGGAAATGAGGAGGTCCTATTTCTTCCACCACCACCCCCAAATTTCTTCCAGATTAATTTTTGATGGAAGGGCACTGGATTCTATCCAAAGTCTTGAAAAAAGTAAGAAAGGAGAGACTCATTGGGATCCATCCTTAGATTAACAATTGCTCTTTGAAAAGTGATGCCTTTGCCGGCTGCTATACCACTACATGTGCGCAAGCAGATTTTGGCCAGAGCTTATTTTTATTTTCCCAGGTTCCTAAAAGCCACATTTGGAATGTTTACAGCAGATGTGCCTTACATTTTGAGTGTTGCCCATGGCAGATCTATTTGAATGTCTTAGGCCTGAAGGAAATCTTTGGCAGATGCAGCATGTCACTTAAATGAAATCTACTGTCACTTACAGGTCTATGGTGCTGCTATTCAATTCTACGAAACGTACTCCGAGGAAAACCTGACAGAAAAACAGAAGGCTCAACTGGGCTTCATGGCCCTGCCCAGCTCCAAAACCGTTCAGACGAACAAGTGCATCTGCCTACTGTCCCACTGGCCATTCTTTGACGCCTTCAAGAAATTCCTCACTTTTCTTTACCGCTATTCAATATCTGGTCCACACGTCCTTCCTATTGAGAAGTAAGTTGGAGGGGTATTTTGTGCTCCACACATCATTGGAATACATAATTTTTTTAAAAAATATATTTTTTAATTTTTTAAAAACAAACAAAAACAAAACAACACATACAAAAAACTTTCCTCAATTTTGTCAAGCATGTCTTTTGGTTACAAGCTTTTGTGCATCAGTTTTTACAATTAGAAATAAGATCACTGGTTGTCCATCAAACATAACTAAATACATCACTATCATTGAGCATTATGTGTTCAGGTTACCATTAATATTCCTTCATTTCAAACAAATCTTATTTCCTTAAATCCTTAATTATCTATTAAGTAACAATAAATCTTTATAAGATTATAGAATCACCTGTCTCTATCTATTGGCCTTACAAAAATAAAAATAAAAATAAATTCCCATCGACTCATATTGTACATCATTACTTTCAATTATCCACAATGTCACCAATCATCCATAGAGTATACAATACTTATAGTGTGACATAGTCAACTCCAGAGATAATTTTCCATTGTTAATCCAAGTAGTTATTGAATATTTCAATTTGTGTATG